GCATGGAGCTTTGCCGTACCCCGGTCGCATTTCCCCCCTCCAAAAGCGTTAAAATCTTATATATTTAAAAGAGGGTGATAATTGACCGCCCCACACCTGCCACACAAAACGGACTTGAAAATGTGATCCGTGGTTGACCGAAATGGGTGTTTTGTAAAGCTTTCAAGAAGCATAAACTTTGTTCCTCCTAAAGGGTACAAAAAGCTTATTTAGTGGGAATTGCCAAGTCATTGCTGATTTTTGCACCTGCTTCAGCTTGGCCATTACTCCACATAGCATGTCTGTCTCCATCCTCTTTGTCTGCACTGCTACACATGTGCCGTGACGCAGGGTACAAAAGCTTATTTAGTGGGAATTGCCAAGTTATTTGCTGATTTTTGCACCTGCTTCAGCTTGGCCATTACTCCACATAACATGTCTGTCTCCATCTTCTTTGTCTGCACTGCTACACATGTGCCGTGACGCAGGGTACAAAAAGCTTATTTAGTGGGAATTGCCACGTCATTTGCTGACTTCTGCACCTGCTTCAGCTTGGTATTACTCCACATAACATGTCTGTCTCCATCCTCTTTGTCTGCACTGCTACACATGTGCCGTGACGCAGGGTACAAAAAGCTTATTTAGTGGGAATTGCCACGTCATTTGCTGATTTTTGCACCTGCTTCAGCTTGGACATTACTCCACATAACATGTCTGTCTCCATCCTCTTTGTCTGCTCTGCTACACATGTGCCGTGACGCAGGGTACGAAAAGCTTATTTAGTGGGAATTGCCACGTCATTTGCTGATTTTTGCACCTGCTTCAGCTTGGACATTACTCCACATAACATGTCTGTCTCCATCCTCTTTGTCTGCACTGCTACACATGTGCCGTGACGCAGGGTACAAAAAGCTTATTGAGCGGGGATTGCCAAGTCATTTGCTGATTTTTGCACCTGCTTCAGCTTGGTCATTACTCCACATAACATGCCTGTCTCCATCCTCTTTGTCTGCACTGCTACACATGTGCCGTGACGCACTGGTAGGACAAAAGTTGCGCTTGTTGAGCTTCCCGCAGTGAACATGGTTGGTTTCTTCTTCTGCACACCCTTTCCCCGTAGAATCCTAGCATGGAGCTTTGTCGTACCCCGGTCGCATTTCCATCCTCCAAAAGCTTTAAAATCTTATATATTTAAAAGAGGGTGACAATTGACCGTCCCACACCTGCCACACAAAACGGACTTGAAAATGTGATCCGCAGTTAACAGAGATGGATGTTTTGTAAAGCTTTCAAGAAGCATAAACTTTGTTCTTCCTGAAGGGTACAAAAAGCTTATTTAGTGGGAATTGCCAAGTCACTTGCTGATGTTTGCACCTGCTTCAGCTTGGTCATTACTCCACATAACATGTCTGTCTCCATCCTCTTTGCTTGCACTGCTACACATGTGCCGTGACGCAGGGTAAAAAAGCTTATTTAGTGGGAATTGCCACGTCCTTTGCTGATTTTTGCACCTGCTTCAGCTTGGACATTACTCCACATAACATGTCTGTCTCCATCCTCTTTGTCTGCACTGCTACACATGTGCCGTGACGCAGGGTACAAAAAGCTTATTTAGTGGGAATTGCCAAGTCATTTGCTGATTTTTGCACCTGCTTCAGCTAGGTCATTACTCCACGTAACATGTCTGTCTCCATCTTCTTTGTCTGCACTGCTACACATGTGCCGTGACGCAGGGTACAAAAAGCTTATTTAGTGGGAATTGCCAAGTCATTTGCTGATTTTTGCACCTGCTTCAGCTAGGTCATTACTCCACATAGCATGTCTGTCTCCATCCTCTTTGTCTGCACTGCTACACATGTGCCGTGACGCAGGGTACAAAAAGCTTATTTAGTGGGAATTGCCAAGTCATTTGCTGATTTTTGCACCTGCTTCAGCTTGGTCATTACTCCACATAACATGTCTGTCTCCATCCTCTTTGTCTGCACTGCTACACATGTGCCGTGACGCAGGGTACAAAAAGCTTATTTAGTGGGAATTGCCAAGTCATTTGCTGATTTTTGCACCTGCTTCAGCTTGGTCATTACTCCACATAACATGTCTGTCTCCATCTTCTTTGTCTGCACTGCTACACATGTGCCGTGACGCACTGGTAGGACAAAAGTTGCGCTTGTTGAGCTTCCCACAGTGAACATGGTTGGTTTCTTCTTCTGCACACCCTTTCCCCGGTAGAATCCTAGCATGGAGCTTTGCCGTACCCCGGTCGCATTTCCACCCTCCAAAAGCGTTAAAATCTTATATATTTAAAAGAGGGTGATAATTGACCGTCCCACACCTGCCACACAAAACGGACTTGAAAATGTGATCCGTGGTTGACCGAAATGGGTGTTTTGTAAAGCTTTCAAGAAGCATAAACTTTGTTCCTCCTGAAGTATATATATATAATTTATATATTACATATATTATAAATTATATACTATATATTATATATTAATATATATATATATATGCCAAGGGCGTCCCCCCAAGATCACTAAGATGGTTATGTTGGGGTCATGAAGTTGGATGTAAATTGGGGGGGTACATTTAACATGTTTTCGGTTTGGCATCATGGGTGAAACAAACTGCAATTTCAGCCATGAAGAATCAAACCATTTTTTGCTCAAACCAGTCATTGATGTTGGATGGTATTTCGAATGATGTCAATTTTTGTCAACATGATTGTCACCATGTTTACCCTCATTCCCGCTTAGCCTCAGCAGGACTTCCAATGAGGATGACAACGGACGTCCTTTGAAGCGCATCAAGCTGGACCAGGACGAAATTGTCCCAGAGAGTGAAGTGCTCAATTTGAGCAACCCGTAACCTGGTGTTACTATTATGAACTTACCTTTATGAAGTACACCCAACAATAAACCACCCAATTGGGGCTACTATTTGGGCATACCCCTATTGGAGATGATTTAAATGATGGATTTTGAATTGGCTTTTGATTGGGTTCACATCACATCATTACTCCAGTCTGATATTTGTTGTTTGATCTTCTGTTGAATGTTGAATGCGAGGGTCAGCACATCCAGCACAAATTTTGAGCCTACAGTCACTTAAACAAACTGTGCAATGGCCATCAAAGGCAGAAATTGGTGATCAACAACACCGCCGAGTTGATTTGCGATGGGGATGGATCTAGCCTCTTTCTGGCGTCGAAGTCCCGCAATCAGTTTCTCATGTTTCGAGAGTTGTTCCTCTTCTCAATGGGCTTCCAGATTGCTGTTTTGAGTTTTCACTCAAATTTATTGTTGAAGCTAGCAATTTTCCTGCTGGAATGGCCACCCAAAAAAACAGCCAACCCACAAATATCGAACATTTAGCAAAACAATGCTATTGTGGATAGACTTGGATTGTTTTTTTTCTTGGATGGCAGCCCAAATAAGATTGATTTAGTGAGGGATGCACAAAAACTTTTAACTATATAGTCATCCCTCCCCGCCGTGGTCCTCTTCGACTTTGCCACTGTGCCCAGATTTTCCTATGGAAGCGGAGAGTGGAGGAGTGAAAGAGAATCTTGGCTGTTGGTGGCTGTGCAGGTGTTGCACAAACATGGCCCATGTCATCCTAAAAAACAATTGCTCAAATAACAATTGGTTGCATCTTGTAAGCTTCATACAAAATGATTCCTAACATCTAAGGATGCTGTTGAAGTACAGCAGGATGGGGCCGGGCGTTGGTTCACATTCAGCCTGGGGCTTGATTCGGTGATCTTGCTGGAAGAGAAGGGCTTACCGGCTCACATTTGTGGCCTTCCTTGTGTGGGCAGTCCGACGTTGCTACCCACTGTGTTGCATGAATTGGAAGATGTGGGGGAGGCAAGGCTACCAGTCCCAACCATATATCAAGTAAACCTTGTGAAACCAATTTGATCAATCTCAAACACATATCAAAAAAGAAGTGGACAAATCGGTTGTTTTTCCTGTCCCCCATTCTTTACCTATGCCTTTAGCCCTGGCTCAAGCAGGTCAAACTTGCCATCACACACCACTCCCTGACCGCCTCTGGTGACTCTTGGAAAGTAGATGCGGAGAAGGCTTTGGTGTTTGTCCTGGACCAACCGAAACTCATGGAGACCGGGGCTAAAAAGGGTAAGAAGGCCAAGCGCGCTGGCTACACCATGAAGAATTTTGGAGGTATCCTCAACATCGGGAAAATGAAAGATGCACGTCGTTTCGTTACCGGATGGCGCGCCAGGCATTTGTAGTGAGGAAAAAATATTTGTGAACCAGAACAAACTAAATTTGTTTTGTTGGTGAATAATTTTCTACCTACACCCCCAATTTCCACATCTCCTATCCCACCCTGAGGTTGGAGAATTCCACCAATGGTGTGAAGACATTGGTGCCTATCAGGCCGATAGCCTGTTTGTCAGGCGTGTTGGATTTGGGTGAAACCTACATCCGCATTTTCTGAATGGCCCAGAAGTACGGCGGGATGGCATTCCCTGGGAACATTTTCCAGCCATCATTTAGCAAGTGTTCTAAATGATAATTCATGATTCTGCCAATCCGTTTCTGGGAAAAGTTGGAAGCCTGGTTGCAGACTGTCTGTGGCTTGAACCAGGCCACATTTTGCTTTGACAAACTAGTCTGAGGGTTGCTTCCATTCAAAGAAGCCCTGGCACAAGTGTCAAGTTTATAGCTTACATCAACTTTACATCTTTCAATATTTCATTCCAACCTTACAAGTTGTTTCATAATATGTTTTCTGATGTTGAACTAAATATATGGGTGTGTCTGAAAATAGTGTACCCCTAAAACCAATGATTAATGATCATTATCCCTATTAAATGGCTATTTGTTTGGGAATATACCCTATTTTCAGACAAATCCATATTGAGATTTAAAATCAGACACTGGGGGCCAGATCCAAACCCACTGTCCGGCGCAAGCTCCTCAAGAAAAATCTTGCCAGGTAGCCTGCCGTTCCGATGGTCAAAGCGATGACATCACATCATTAGTATGCAGGCAATCGATACTTGAATAATCATTGTTTTTGCAGTGTAGCCATCGTGATCAAGAAAAAAATCGTAGCCCATCCGGTACAATCAGGATTTGGGATAGGTATATGGCGCCGAGACGATCGAGAAAGGATGAATCCGATGATGTGGAATATGTCCCGCTCCCGGCTAGGAAAGGCCTGAGTGTCCCAGATCCTTGTCTATGGTATTTGGGGGGTGTCTCAAATTTTAGATGGAATCTGTCATATATACGGTATATAAATGGGTTATGGACCACGCATACACACTCGAGTATGGATTTAAAGTCAGGTACCTGACATACTGTATACGCAGTACCTTCCTGTGTGCCAAGGATTTCAATCTCAATGCTTTGCTTCATGATACCCGGTCTTCTAGTCACTCGACACCAGCACCTACGGCTACAGCCACGGGCAGCAGTTCCAGCCGTGCTACAGCTGCAATTTCGGTTGGGGATAGGTCACTACGGTTCATGTAAAAACACCAATGTCAGTTTCCAAATCATTGGCCCACCACACATTGAGGCCCTTTGCAGTCTGCACCCTCAGCACCGTCGGCCCCAGCAAGCCTGGTAGTTCCTTCGCGTTTCCAGGCATCGGAAGAGTCCTCGCCAGAGCAAGGAGCTGGGGGCAAGAAATCAGAAAAGAAGGAGAAGGACAAAACCGGTAAGACGAAGAAAGACAAGAAAACCAAGAAAGAGAAGAAGACTGCCAAGAAGACAAATGAAGATGATGATGAGGATGACGAAGGATGTGAAGCTGACCATGAACCTTTGGGGGGCAATGGTGATGACGATGATGAGGGTGATGGATTCGGTGACTTAGATGGGTATGACGAGTTGGTTAGTATGCAAGAAAGTAAGGGTCCCAAGAAGCGGCCGGCCACCAGCAAAGCTGCCGCACCCCGCAAGAAGCCCGCAACGAAACACAGTGAGGCTGGGATTGGGTTGAAACAAAACTGGCAAGTAGGCTTTCACAGAACATCACAGAACCATGTTAGTCATGTCCTCACAGACTGGAACCGGCAAACCGCAAGGTGCCGCCTTTCCATCATATGATCGAAGGTGCTGAGATGGGTGAGTGCAGGCCCAAACACAAAATGATGAACGCTTCACATGTTACCTTGGTCTTACTTGTGTTTGTTCAAACATATGGTTCATAGTGTTTCTTGGTTTGGCTGTGTGCAGGAAGAGCGTCGAACCCATGGAGCCCGCCGATGGTGGTGACATGAACTACCCCACCCAAGAGTATGTGCTTCCGGAACCTGAGCTTGAGTGTCTTGGTTGAACCGCTCGATATCTATATTGTTCAAATCAATGAATTCTGAGAAAAAAATCATTTTTGAAATCATTTTTGGATTTTCCAAAACATTCAGAACAGCTTGGATCAAGGCTGCCTATGAGCCCTGCCGATGGGTACTGCACGGCGGGTGGGAGTTCCTGCTATGCTGAGACTTTTAAAGATCCTGCATCGCCTGCTTTCTCCTATCACCCTGACAACCAGCTGGGACTTGAAGATACTCCAGATCTTTGCTTTAATTTGGTCCACTGATTTTCCAACAGTTGTTACCCCAACCCAAAAAGTCATCACTTATTTACCAAGGACCCGCATGCGGTGACACCTGATGGGAATACAGATGCTGGCCACGAGGGTTCCCCGACATCTGCTGTTTCTTAGCTGAAAAATTGACTCGTAGATTCATACCGCAAAGTTCCAATGTATCCCAAAGTAGAAAACGTTCACTTTGAAAATGTAAGTGTGTCAAGATCATAAATGGTATTATGTGCATCTTTTCACTGAGGAAACAGTGCCCAAGCTACACCGGTTGCAAGCCCATGAGGATTTGACAGCGGTCCTTGATGGCGTTGAGCCAAGGGCCATCGACTTGGAGGCCATGCTTTCAGCCTGGGCCAGGCAGTGGTTTCTACAGTGGCCTAGGTATAAACTGGTATGGTATATATATATATATATATGTTTATATATTTATATATGTATAATTGAATATTGTTTATCCATTTACTTTCTGCGCAACAATATATTTAATATACACTGTGTGTATATATATATATATACATACATACATATTTATCTATTTACACTGTATGTGTAACAACAAATTTGCCTTTTAGTTATTGTTTATTATGCTGAAAATACTATTAAGAAACAAACATATATATATATGCATCTGTGTTGATAACATATAAATATGTATATATATATATATACATGCAGGTTATATCCTTACAAACCGTTTAATACCTAACATATTTAGTGGGGTTCAGCCAACAAAAAACAGTACAGGATGGGACACATATCTTTTTAATGGCCCAACTAAGATAAGTTGATGGAATCATCAGACCCTTTATGTAAGATATGCTGGTATCCATCCTCTGCGGGTATTTGTTTTGTTATCAGTGCAGTTGTAGTTCAACGGAATATTTACACCAACCGGGTTTGTCTGAAAATGGTGTATACCTCCAAAGAGCTATTAGAAAATGAGCTAATGGACTTAGGGGTGCCCTATCTTCAGACAAACCCAACTTACTCTCAGCATACGAATGCTAGGTATCTCAACATAAATATGGCACAAACATAGCAACGGAGAAATCATGTTTTCCCAAGAACTTTTTTTCAGTGCTATGATCGGAGCATGTTATGCAACAAACCCAAAGCACATGGAGGCCGCGGATGGGAGTGAGGACGCGATCGACAAGTCTTCACTGTCGGAGAGGTGGGGAATCACACGCGTGGATCCTGAGGGCGCTGAGCCAGCCCCAGATGGAGCCCGGGATCGTACAGTTGCAACACCAGCTCGGAGTACAACTGCTAAGCCAAAAGTTCGTCCCTCCCCAAAGGTAGGAGCAAAGGCAAAGGCAGGCAAGACCGCCAAGGCCAAGGCCAAGGCATCCCCAAAAAGGAAAGCAGCAGACAAGGTAAAGAAGGTTGCGATTGCAAAGCACAAGGCGCGGCGCAGCAAGAAGGTATCCCCCGAATGCAAGGCATCACCCAAGGCAGCCCCAAAGCACAAGATGCGCAAGGATAAGGATGAGGTTGAGAGGAAGCTTCACTCTGTACCTAAGCTGAACCCAACGTTCACAAAAAAAACATTTGTGCACAGTAGCGGTTGTCAGAATAAAGTCCAGTTGCCTGTTTTATGCCAAGTCCAAGGTATATTCAGGTGCGCACAAAGAAGCCAAAACTTCCGGCCATGATGCAGCGCACAGCAAACTTCTTGCTGCGGGAGCGCGTCTGAAGTGCCCTAGCGTATATTTTGAGCGCATTACTTTCTGAAATGTGTTTGTATTACTTTTGCGATTCTACTTACTTTGGCTATCAGTGGGAATCCTCATTCATGTAGTAGGTATAAGACTTCCCAAGCCACCTATGAGATGGGATAAGGGCCATATTTCTATATTATTGTGCATACCCCGTATTTGGGATTATATTTATTGGTGTTAACCCCTCCTAGTTAGGGGATAGATATATATATATATATACATACGTACATATAATACATAAATAGTCAGGATGGATTATGTGTCCCATCTGCTGTATCTCACATTACCTAAGATCTAAGGTGGGCAGCAGAGAATGGACCTGCTGACCATCCGGCTATCATTGCCCTGTTGAGATCCAGCTGATGACTGATGGCCCAATCTTTCTTTGATATAGTTCAGCGCTTTGAGAAATGTGGATGATTGTAAATGTCAATATTGATAAGATAGAAAGGGTCTTTGATACATACAACAACTTTGAAGAAAAGCTGTTCTGGTGGCTGCTGAACAAATCCATGATCTTCGTTCCCCATCCAAGCCGCATCGACCAAGCTTGGGACCTTCAAAGATCAATTGCCCAGCAGGGGTATCGCTGGAAGCAAAAGGGGCGGCAGTTGGCGGCTGCAGTATCTCACCAATTTGGAAGGTTGGTCACACATTTAAAATCACTAAATCATGGTATGTGTGGAGAGCCAGTTTCCTTTTGGAAAGGAACCAGTTACAAATGGACAAGACTTGCAGCTGAGATGCTTTTTTGGCATCTATTCTCGCTTTCTTTCTGGCATCTGTTTTGACGTCCTATCTGACATTCTATCATGTGTTCGGGTCCGTGAGTCGCGATAGGTCTCGGGTCCATGGCCCAGACTGCCGTTGAGCTCGCCATGAGCTTGAACGCTTGAGTTGGCACTTGCTCTGGCATCCCGGTCGGTTGGTGCCCACAGTGGAAGAAGGAACCTTTGTTAAAATCTTGAGGCTTTCACCTGGCAGGTGGGGAACGTGTAACTCATTTGGAAACAAACTTTGAGATTGGTAGTTTACCATCAGCAATGAGGATTGAAACACACAAATGGGCACGCCAAATTGGTGCATGGATTCATGGGCGCATAGATAAACGGGTATTGATCTAACGGTCCATTGCGAAGTGTTTGACTTGCGATGACCGTTCATATCTGTTTATATCATGGTTCTAGGCGATAGTTGTTGTTGGGGTTGGGGGGCAGAGGATGGCGAAGCTGCAGATGGAAACGCTCTAGGCGTTGAGATGCCTGGAACACCGAGCAGATCGGAAGAGATGTTCCAACGTTGTGAGAGGTTGCCTGTGGCGGCGAAGGCGCAGCCCAAAAGGCAGCCGCGTCCTTCTCGGAGCTGAGTGGACATCAATGGACATCGATGGACATCTGGGTGAGCAGTTGGAATCAGAGGTGGTCACGTCTGAAGTGACATGGGATGACATGGGGCATTCCTCATTCAGGTGGTGACAGCGTGACAGCCTTGCATCCAGCATCAGCTTAGGATCGTGCAGCAAGTTTGAGGCCCAAAGAGCCCAGGAACTCATCGCATCACTGAGAAAAGCCATCAAGGAAGTGGAGATGAATGGGGTTAAGACCGTGCGAGTGCTCTTTTGGCAACCCTAGGACCGCAAACAGTTGGCAGAACGTGTCGGATTTCTCTATGCCCGACCCCAGTCATACCTGTTGAAATGCTGGCACGTGCTCGGGGGCAAGCTTGGAAACAGCCATTGCAGTGAGAGATCCATGCCTCCCTAAGCGGTGATGCGAGAATGTTTGTGCTCAAGTTGAACGTGCCACAAAGTGGAGGCAAAAGACCTCTCAAGGTAAGCTTGCAGATCAAAACATCCACAAGTGTTGAGGCACCTGTCTCGTTTTTCTCCTGCGTTGCTCCTTCTCTTTTCTTTCCTCCCTCATTTTTTTGCTCTCTCTGGTCTCTTCTCCTGCTTCGATGTGACTTGGTTCCCTGTCACTTAGTTCCCCTAGTTCCCCTTCTCTTTCGCAGCCTGCTCTCAACTGATTCGTCAATTTTTGCTGTGTTTGTTGCCATGCATGCCATGCAACATTTTGCTCGTGAACTGGACAGAGAAGGTGTACTTGTCTTTCCCAAATGTTGTAGTTAATAACCATACACTTGAGGCTGCGGAGAGTCAGTTGCATCAGATGATTTGTGATGGCTTGCCAGAGGGCAACTCTCGGTCGGTCCTGCAGCTCCAGTATCTGGCACTCAAACGAGATATTATATATTGCCTTGCAACTTGAAAGACCACCGCATGGTCTTTCTGAAATCCTTGCTTCCTTTCCCAATGTTTGTATGTTTGATCAAATTTTGGATCGAATCTTGGTGGTTGCATTTTCAAGAGCGGAAACTCAAACTAGAGGGTTAAAGCTCGGCTCAATATTTGGCCCTTGGGAAGGCGGCCTTGCCTCCACTGGAGGAAGCCATCCTGATATAAGGGTAACTCCACGTAGAATTGCTTGTTGGAATGGACAAGGCGCTTTCGCTTGTCATAACTCGGTGAAGCGAATCTCTGAGGCCACGCAGTTGTGGCAACCAACCGGAGGCTAGACCTTTTTGACCGTGAACATTTCGCCACATTTGGAAATACAAAGATCGATATTATATTATATTATCTAACATCATAGTGATACAAATATCTATATTATATATTATCTCATATTTTATTATATTTTCCATTTGTATCACTATCGAATATGAGATAATATCATATCACTAACACATGTTTTAAATAAAAGACGATAGAATATGATTTACCTTTATAACATGATACAATACAATTTAATATGATATGATACAATGTAATATAACATTCCAGAATTTAGTATAATATATAATAAAATGTCGCTTAATATAATATTATATAATATTCAAAAGAATATAGTAACATATTAAACAAATCATATAATATATTTTAATATGATACACTATAATTCAACATATATAAAATAATTTAATTTTGATTTAATCCAATTTGATGTAATCTATTATTTTATAATATATAGTAAGATATAGTATAGTAAAATTTAACGTAGTATAATATATTCATTTCTTAAAATGACAAACTAGAATAGTTTTTTGCTTTTAATGTTGCCAATAAACTTTGTATAATATAGTAAAACTTAGCATTGTTTAATACCATATCCTTTTTAGCTTACAACAATGAAACAGAGTAAACTAATATAATATTATATAGCCGAATATATTAGAAACTAGTACGCTACAGTATAATATAGTTTGATATAGCACAGTCTAACAAAACATTATATAGTATAACACAATATAGTATTAACACAATATAGTATATAGTACAACATAGTACAGTATAATAGAATTTAGTATTTGCAATACATAATATATATAGTACATGTAATACATATACGTGTAAGATATATGGATATAGATAAGCTATAACATAGAAATATGATTCAATAATATTGATATTATTAATGCAAGACGATTCACAATCTTTGCCCCGTGTTTTTTTGCTGCCAGGACTACATCTTTTCTCACGTGAATTCGGAAAAGTCCCGCGCATCGAATCCATCGAGAGGATCCAAGGCGCGCGGTGCCCCGCTGTGTCGGGATCTGGTGGGACTCATGGGTTGTTTCATGGGACTTTAATCGGACATTTTCATGGGACTTAGTGGGATTTAGTGGAATTTATTTTATTTTAGCCACTTCAGACTTCAGTAGACAAAAAGAACACAGTTCACCCAGGTTTCGTTCGGGGAGTGTGTAAAGTTATGTTTGTCCAATGGTTCCCCTTTCGGGGGCAAATGATCCACGCATGGTGGACTTTCCACATCTATGATGGCTTGTTTAATCTCCATTGGTCTCCCATTTGTTTTGTTTTTCTCATAATCCGATTGATATCAACCGTTCCGCTGATTGCTGGGAAACTCCCAGCAAGGAACTGGAATTCTCACGGTGACTGAGCGGCAACGGAGCCGGGTCGGAATCGGTTTGTAAGTTGGTGAAGTGTTGGGTAACCATGGTAGATATATTTCAAATTTTCATTGGAATTATACACCAACAAACATCCCTGGGCGGCATAACCTTGTTACTGGTGCAGGAGGGTAGGTAGATGTTATGGATGTTGGTCCCGATCACCAGTGAGGAATGGATTGGATACAGAAAAATTGTATGTTTGGGGTGCAAACACAACATACACCGCAGTATTGCGGATAAAAAAATACATCCCTAAGAATATAAACATCGGATAGGTGAACATCCCAACATAGAATTTTACTTACAAATTACGTTCTATAAATCAATAACCCCAACATATTTATATTTAGCAATACAAACTGAGTTAAGTTTGTCATTTCTTCACTGGTATGGCCGAAAAAAACCTCACGTCTGAGGCAAACTTCTCAGGATTCTCAGGCATCTATCGAGACCATCGCAGTAGGACTGGATGGGGTGAGAAGTTCACCGTTGGGACGTTGACCAAGAAAAAAAAGTGATGTCATCCTCAAATTGTGTCAGAACTTTGGATGAATTATTGTTTAATGATGTTTAAAGAGCTGACCATTTTTTCTTGCAGGGTTCATTTTGCCATGGTGTTATTGATTTTGTGAGCTGCCCAATAGTAGAGCATCGCACCCCTAAGGGGCGTGTGCTCTGGTTTAATTATGACTGTTTAGTAAGTTTAGTATGTTGTTTGTTTGTCATAGATGTGAATATATACAAACCATCCAACAATGTAATTGTTTGCAGGGAATCATGTGATAATGTTCGAATGTTGGGGCACAAAGATGTGCACCTGACAAATTATTTAAAAGGATCTCTCTCTCTCTCTCTGTAAATATCTATATCTATAGCTATGTTTACGTCTACATCTAGTTTGTTTTCTGATTTAGCTATATAGATTTGTTTGTTCATTTAACTATATATATATATGTGCACACATATACTTTCTTCAGCATATGGGGCATGTAATGACTTGCCCGTGGGGAAACGGTCCGCGCTAACGGCGCATGTTTGGGTCGGCGCGAAGGGCTGGTTGGATAGCCTCACCATCCATAGGGATTCGACCCATGTGACTCCCTCTGGTTATGACTGACATAGCAATCTGGAAAAATGGTGATTTTACCTATTATAAATTGTGATTTTACCCGTAGAAATAGATGGTTTACCGTTCTTAATAGCATGGTGGATCTTTCCATGGCAAACTGTGACGGTTAAAACCAGATGTTTTTTTTGGAAATCATCGAGCTACAGAATTATAAATAGGCAATGGCTTCCATAGCTATGTTAAATTACCAGAGGGCAACGTTTACACGGCTATTTTTGGGCTTATTAGCTGATTGAGTTGTAACCTTTTAGTATGACTCTGGGGTCACCGTTTCCTCCCTTCGTTTCCACCACATCCCTCAGGACCCGTGAAAGTCCACTCCATGGGCCTGGATTCGGACTGGATCGATTCTGGACTGAAGCAAGGCATGGGAGGCCCCGTGCATCAAGGCATGGGAGGCCCCGTGCGCTTGGAATCTGTGGGCGTTGAGTCCTTGCACTCGCTGCACTCCCCGACCTCACCGCAGTCGCCAAGTTTCGAGCCCCGAGTCCTGGGCGACGTCGCAGTGTTCGAAGAATGTTGAGGCGGTGGACGATTTTGCTTTATAGAATTGGATGGTTTGAAGAGCTTAAGAGTAAGAGAAACATTAGAAGACCATAGAAGATCCAGCAGATACGAAGAGTGTGATTCAGTGTGATGTGTCGTTGCGCCCATGTTGGAGCCATAATTATAGCTCCCATCACACTCTTCGTATCAATCAAACTCCCATGTTTATTGGGCGATTCCAGACTCATGGGAAACACTTTGGGTTCTTATGGACGATCATGGCATGGGACATGACCGTTGCAGTCCAGCAGGCCAGCTGGGGCAATGTTTAAGGAATCATTAAGTACATATAAATTTAAATACTTAACTCTATGAATATACACATATACATATATATTAGTATATATATATGTTTATATATATATATATATGTACAGACACAGTATACATATATATATATATGTACAGACACAGTATACATATATATATATATATATATATATGACAGATAGATAGATAGATAGATAGATAGATAGATAGATAGATAGATAGATACATAGATACATAGATACATAGATACATAGATAGATAGCTCTACATTTACATACGTGCATATGTATATACATGTATATGTATATGTATACATATCATATGATATGCGTACACATTTGGGCGTTCCTTTGAATTGGGTAACCGAACCATTCGTTTTACCCTGAATGATCTTCCATGTTGCACGACTTTAGAGTCCCGCTCTTCGCATTTGGGGACACTTATCATGTGTCCACTGTTTGTCCATTTTGATATTTTGTGATTAATTAATTTATATTATTATATAACTACAGTATATTATCATATTGTATGATGTATTTATATACATGATGTTTGTCTAAGACATACCGATTGTAGATTAGATAGACATCACAATCTGTATGATTTGAACATACTACTATGTTTTTTATTTAAGGTAATCTGTTGAAACCCCCCTTGGTCCCGCCAGATCCTAACAAGGTTCTACTCACGAAAGCACGGGCTAGGTGACGGTTGTATTTTAAGTTCGTTATCTAGATATACAAATGTGTTAAATATTAATGCAAATATCTTTGCATATGGGCCAGTATATGGGTGAAAAACCTTAGATGTTCAATGATGTTCAATTTTAGATGTTCATTAACGTCTAGATATCTAGATTCGTTCAATATACGTATAAATTACTCTAGATGTTCATTCATTCTGAAATCTAAGATCTACTAGTACTTGTAGTTATGTTGTTCCTAATTCCTAATTATAGGTTAAAATCACTGTCGCCGCTTTGGGGATCTGTACCCATCCAACACCAGACATATTCTCCCAGGTCATTTGCTAAGTTGGTTTGGTTTGGAAATGGTAGATATATCATGATATATGGAACTATATGTGTAGGATGTATGTATATCATTATGTACTATATAATATACTCATATAGATGTATTTTACTATGATATACTATGTAAACCCATTTCTGCTTTTCACATGATCTTTGAATGCTGCATTGGTGGGGTTTTCCGAAAATCTCTCCGCGCACACCGTTGTGTCGGCACAGCGGATTTGTCAATGTATTTATTGGCAGGGGCCTCTTGGATGAATGGTTTACTGGGTCAGCCGACTGGATAAAAAGCAAATGCAGGGCGTCTAAGATTGGCACTGTTTACAACATGTTACCCACATGCGAACCATGGTGCAATATGCACACCAACATTTACCCGAACAAAATCACCCAGTCATGTAGGTAAATATACCAGCACCATGGTTCGCATTTGGGTTATAACTTATAACTCTAAACTCTGGTTAGTGGTTTGGAACGTGTTTGATTTTTCCATATATTATATATTGGGAATTTCATAATCGCAACTGACGAACTCCATCATTTTTCAGAGGGATAGGTATACCACCAAGCAGTTATGGTTTATGGTAGGTCGGTATCCAACTAGTCGATGTGCTTTTTCAACATTCAAATACCTTGGGACCAGCGACTAGTAGGTGTTTCCCCTGGCATGGGATGATCATAAGCCATATACCATGTCAATGTGTTGACCATGGCACAGATACTTGTACATATATGTATATATGTATATATAGTGTGTGTATATATATATAATTAATTATATGATTGTTTCGTGATACTTTGTTTAAATTAGATTTATATAAACAATCACGAACGATAATGATTACACACTGCAAGGAATTAATCCAAGTTATATCAAAGTTTATATATATAAATATAATCTATTATATATATATATATATTCAGATAACGACATATTAAGCACTGCAGCATCTGTGGCCACTTCGACATCCATTGAACTAGCCGACTAGGTCTCCTCGTGGCAAGAAAATCCTCGGCAGTTGCGATTTTTATAATGGGTATACGGTATATCTTTTTTAATAACCAATTAAAAAACTTAACTATACCCCAAAACGTTGGTATATCCCTTGACGTTAAATAACAATATATCCCATCGTTATTGATACTATTGGTATATGGTATATATCTATTATAATTGGTTTAATAACCCTATTAACGTTGGGATAGAACCCTTTGAATTATGGGGTTATTAAACCCAAATAACTGGGAAATTCAGCGTATTTCAAATAACTTATAATCTATAGTTCGATGGTATTCCCAGCGAACTGAACCTCCATTTACTGTCGGGGATGTTCCAAGGTTTGCCTATCATGTTTGTTAAAGCAACAATAAACCACCCATTTGGGAATGGTAAACATACCATCTATTTATGGTGACTTGGGGGATGGTTTATCATTGTTTTACCCACATTATGATATATATATATATATATGTTAATAATATATTTGGTCCCAAACGTATCATCGTTTTCGCATGTGTGGCTCGGTGTCCTTAAGTTCCTAGACATGATATGCCCAGCACTTGGTGAACTGTCGGGTGGATGGGGGATATGTCACTTGATGTGGAAAGTCATGGAAGGTCAACGGGATTTAACGGCAGATAAGGTAAATCCTCTTTAAGGCAAGTAAGTGAAGCATGGCACACATACCAATGTTCTATAAAACCTTCCATGGATTTACACTAAAATACCCATGGTAAATGATGATAGTGGATTATCAATCGTTCATATCATTGGAAATAGTCGAGAAACATAGATAATCCAGTATTAATGTTGAACAATCCATAGATATCAGACTAATGTGGGAAACACGATGCCATAAACCTACCATGACCAGGGATGATTTGGGGATGGTTTAGGAAATTGGGTTTGCCACGTGGTGTTTATAGACCAGCAAGCATCATTGAGGGGCCTCACCTTGTGCAAAGATGGGGCTATCACTCATGTAGTGAAATTATTTGGCCTTCTGTACTGGTGTGTAGTGAAATTATTTGGCCTTCTGTACTGGTACAGCTCCAGCAACGCTTCATGATCGAAATTCAACAAAACAATGCTTTGGCCGCTGCTTTAAAAAAAAATCCACGGCTCGGCCACGGTCAGAATCGGGGCTTTTGGGGCCGTTTCCCATCGAAAAAACTGGATCATCCAGCAAAGCACTGGGTACAATCACTATGCGCAGTAAAGTCATGGATGATTGTCCAGTCACCGGGTGGTTCCCGAAAAACTTGTTGGTTTACATGGTTTACATACTTTTGATAAATGTTTCTATAATCTCCACATCTACGTATAGATATAAGCTCTATAAACATATGTAAGCCCAACACGTATTGGAGTTTAATTCACTAACTTAGCGAACTGGAGCACCGCCCTGGGTGGCCGCCATCTTGGTGTTTGGACGTAAGCTTCCTTCGTTGTATAAACCACTAAAAATTTTGGTGCGTCAACTTTGGATGGGTACTTCAATTTTGTTGCTACAAATAGGATATACATATATCAACCATAGTTACTGGAGCTTATAAACCAGCTTAGCTAACTGGGGGGCCTCACATTGTATATATACATATGTATACTTTTTGCAGCTACAAAACTGCAAGTGAATGCAACAGATTTGAGAAATTGACCACCAATCTTTATGGGGATATACAACATGCATACACAGAAGTATACCGATTGGCGAAGGGTACTTTGAATGGCTTGGCAAGGGTACTTTGAATGGCTGAATATCGATCAGGACATGTAGAATTGCCAGCCAAACACATATTAGTTGTATGAAAACTTGTCTGATTAGTATCTGAGACTGCCATGTAACCACTGTGTGATGATTTTAGCATATCAATTCCGACCGGTCTTCATGACATTCCGAAAGATGGAAAGGTGTCAACTGTCAAGCCCACGAGACTAAATTGCTGTAATCAAATCAATGGTCAATATCTAGAATCTAGATGCTACAAGTCCGGTTGGTTAAAAGGGGGTGAAGGATAAGTGCACCAACTTGAAATCCCGCCCTCAGAAGCTTGAGACCGGTGAAGTTTCTGTGAAATATGATGCACATGTGGGATTCTCTAATGGGACTCCGCCAAGTCAAATGCGTTGCCATGTTAAGGTATGTCCCATGTTTGGACGTGCTTCTCTATGTGAACTGGGGTCGAACTTTGAAAACTTTGAGGCCCATTGGTTCCCCAAGTTTGTCCCATGTAGAAATTGTTGCGTCCTCAGCGTACTAGCAGGTGTGTGCTCCATCTATGGGTTGGACCCAAGATGTTGGGAACAGCAAAACCTTGAAATCCACTGGTGAAAATAATAACAGTCCCCTTGAGAGCCGTCTAATGGGGGTATAACATTTTTTTATATGGCTGATAACACCTCTATTGATTTTTGGACAATAATCTTTGTTAAATGTATTTTTCTTGGGCTAAGAATGCCGGTTTCTGGATGAACGAAATTAGGTCGAAACCACATCTGTATACATATACATACAATATAATATATAGATATACACATATATATATATATATATGCACAAAATTATGCATGAATTATTGTATTTGTTTATATTATTTCGAATTATATACCACTACATCTCCATTATATCGTCATTGCATCTCCAGTATATCCCCATTGATTTGAACCCCGGATTTTTATTTAGCC